CCAGAGGATTTTAGGGGTCAGGTTTGACAAGGAAGGAGGAGGCAAGACAAATTGGCCTGTAATTATAGGGAAAGTGAAGCAACAGCTGGGTTACTGGGGACTGAGAACGCTGACTTTGGAGGGCAAGGTGTTAATCATCAAGGCAGTGATTTTACCCTGACTTCTCTTAGTCAGCTCAGTCTTTATCCCTCCCCAAAAAGTGCTCTTAGAACTGGAACGAGCCATTTTCTACTTCTTATGGGGTTCTAAATGGGAGACACTTAGAAGGGAGACAATGAAGAAAATGAAGGAGAATGGAGGAAAGGGGGTTCCAGACCTGTATCTGTTTGTAGGAAGTCTCTATACGAGCAGCCACCTGAGGCAGGCCACGGCCCGATCGAGTAACCTCAAAACGCAGGCGTGGGTTAGATTTTGGGCGGGGAGCTACTTAAGACAGAGAAAATTGATACCGGTGGATCTAAAAGTGCCTGTCTCTTTTAGTCTCCCCCCAGCCTATGCCTATCCTTTAACTTGGAAAATGAAGACTTAAACATTTTAACTAAACACCGGTCTCTCATCTCTGTTGTGCAGGAGCGAGAAGCTGTGACTCCAGTGCGTGGCCTCTCGATTGGTGAAGCCACAGATGTGTGGCGTTTGGTGAGCCGTCCCATTCTTTCGCATAAGCTCCGGGATGTGTCCTGGATGGTGGCTCATGGGATCCTCCCAGTCAGGTCCGTTATGCACTCTCGGGGCATGTCTGCAACAGCCATGTGTCCCCAGCCTGGTTGTGGCACGCCAGAGTCGGTGAGGCACCTGCTCTGGGAGTGCAGCGCTGCCGTAGACCTGTGGGCAATGGCCGGCTCCTCGCAATTCCCGTACTTACCAGCAAGGGAGGTCCTAACAGCACAGTTAGTGCTCTATGGGGTGAGCCAGGGTGTAAAGGCACAAAGGAAAGACTTTGAAAAGCAGTGGCTTACTCTCGCTGCCATCAAAGACGCCATTTGGACCTCCAGAAACTTGCTGGTAAGCAAGCACATGCAGATCCCCCCCCGTGACTGCTCTCCGAATGGCGGCAGCAACAATAAAAGAGATCTGTGCTGCAAGCAGCAAGCCGTGGGAGCAGCCACAAAGAAGAATCGCCTCTGTGCCCATTCGGACGGAGGAGCCGGTGCCACACACAGGGAGGTCAAAGCAGCAACGGCCTGGCTCTCCGGGAGAGGCAGGTGGGAAGGAGCAAGGTGGTGAGGATCCCCCCTGAACACCAGGAGCTTGTGAAAGGACGGGACGGCTTTTATAAACTGTTTTTTATCGCTCCTGTGCATTTTCTTTTAAGGAAAGGGTGGGAAGAAATAAAAAGTAATCTTTTAAATTGGGTGGGAATTTGAATTTTATGAGATGACTGTGTTTGGTTTCTATGTTTGAGTGTCAATAAAATTTTTCGAAAGAAAAAAAAATCTGTTCTTATCAGTTTAATATCTGATATGCCCCCGATTCGGGGGCAACGTATTAAACGTATTTTTAGAACAGGGAGCCGAATAAGGGGCTCCGTTCGCTCCGTTCGCTCCACGCATCGCCTCCGTGAACGGTGCCCCCTTTGCTGACTTTGTGCAAAAGCAAGAAAGCCAAACAAAGTAAGGTCTGCCAAGCCAAGAGCCAGAAAGCAGCCGGAAGCGGCGAACGTGCAGGGATAGAAGCTCAGAGAAATAAGGAAAAAAACTGGGAAGAGAGCGAGGAACTGAATATATTATTAAAGGAACAGGAGGTTTTGTTTCAGGAGAGGGCGAAAACAAGAATGTTTAAATTTATGCAGGAGGAGTATATGCAACAGGAGAAGTGCTCGGCCTATTTTTTTGCTCAAATGAAAAAGAAAGAGGAAAAAGGGGCAATTATGGAACTGGAAAGGGAAGGGAAATCGGTTACTGGACGGGATAATATTTTGAAGATGGTAGAGGAGTACTACAGTTCATTGTTTGGTGTGGAAGAAGTAGATAGAGGGGCTCAAGAAATGGTTTTAGGTTTTCTGAAAGAGAGGTTACCAGAGGACGCAAGGAAGCTTTTGGAAAGGAGCATAACAAACCACGAACTATACGAGGCGATAAAGACAATGAAGAATAACAAGGTACCTGGGATAGATGGACTCACAAAGGAGTTTTACATCACCTTTTGGGATCTCATCGGAGACCACTTGTTGGAGGTATTTGAAGAAATGTGTGAAACGGGTAGAATGCCAAAGAGTATGAGGACGGGTGTGATAAGTTTACTACATAAGAAAGGCTCACCTGCTGTGCTTTCAAATTATAGGCCTCTTTCAATGGTCTGCGTGGACTACAAAATTTTGAGTCGAACTCTAGCAAGACGCCTGGCCCGAGTCTTGCCTGCTATTATTAATGCAGACCAGACATGCGGGGTAAAGGGCAGGCAGATTGGTTGGAACTTACAATTACATAGAGATGCGCTTACATACATCGGAGAGAGGAACTTGACAACAATATGCGTAACACTTGATCAGGAAAAAGCTTTTGATAGGGTCAATTATGATTTCTTATGGAGGGTGATGAGAAATTTTGATATAGGAGGAAAATTTTTGAATTGGATAAGTATGATGTATACTGACATAATTTGCAAGATAAAGATAAATGGACACTTAACAGAGGAAGTACAACAAACGAGAGGGCTACAGCAGGGTTGCCCCCTGTCCGCCCTACTCTATGTTATATATGTAGAACCTTTAGCATGTGCAATAAGAGGAAACGAGAAAATTAGAGGAGTGCCCTTGCCAGGTGGGGAGGTGTTGAAGATCTCCCAGTACGCTGACGACACAGTTCTTTACTTGGAAGATGATGGAAGTGTGAGGGAGATGATACGAACAATACAGACCTTTGAGAGCGCTGCGGGGTCAAAGGTCAATAAGGAGAAATCAAAATATAAATTTTTGGGACTATGGGCAGGTAGGAGAGAGACGCTTTGCGGGCTTTCTTTGTGTGAAGGGCCCATGCGGGTCCTGGGCATAGATTTTGGAAATCCAGGGGGGGATGCAAATTACAACTGGGATTTGAAGATAGCGAAGATCTTAAAGAAATTGGGGATGTGGTCAAAAAGAAAGCTCACTATAACTGGCAAAGTTTTGGCCGTAAAAGCTGACATCTTACCTGCCCTACTCCATTTGGCATATGTCTTTCCAATGCTACAGACTCATAGGAAGGTGCTAACACGGGGAATTTTTAAATTAATATGGGGGGGGGGGGGGGGGGGGGTATGAATATGTAAAAGAACAACTATGTATCAGACAATATCAAAAGGTGGGAGGGATGTCCCATACATCCCTTTGAAATTGGATGTGATGTATTACAGTAACATATGTGCTCCTCTCCAGCCACCCCTTTCCTGTCAAAGTGGAACTCTGGAGCAGAGCAGGCGGGGCCTGAGATCTGCCCCTTCAGCCAAGCAAACAGGGCCTACCGTGACGCCGGAAGCCGGGACGAGGAATCACTGTGGCTTCCTGCGAGGCCAAAGAAACACACACTCTGGCTTCTGGGAGGGAGGGATGTCCCATACATCCCTTTGAAAATGGATGTGATGTATTACAGTAACATATGTAATTTATTGAACAGGTCCAATGTACATAAATGCCAAGTCTTGATCCGCTTTTGGTTATCTGGCCCCATGAGACAATTGATCGAGTGGGATAATAGGGTGCCAAGGGCGGAAAGCAGACCAGACTATTTTTCAAGGATGATTAAATGGCGGGAGAAGCATCAGGAATATAAGGACAAAGACCTCATGTTGAATCACAAAAAAATTGTATAGAGCCATGGTGCAGAAAATGCACACCCAAAATTCATGGGTGCAGGAGGAGGTATGGATACGAGCTCAGGAGAAGGGACTGAGCAACGGCTGCAGGGATTTTAACTGGCTGCTGCTGCATAAAAAAATACCGGTAAGATCAATAATGCATGCACATAGATTATGTGATAATAAGAACTGTCCAAGAAGCATATGTCAAAGAGAAGAAACAATAGAACATGTAATGTGGGGATGCCCCTTTGCGAGGGAAGTGTGGGGTGAAATGCAGAAGCAGTATGTTTGTTTAAAAGGGATTTCGTACGATGAAGTAATGTTCCTTACGGGATGGGAGAAGGGAAGTAACCGTAAAGGAAAGTCTTTGTTATTAGTGTCCTTGGTAAAACTATATTTGTAGAAGGCCCGGCAAGGGTATATTTTGGGGTCATACAAATGGACAGCCAAGAGTATATGTAGATTGGTAGAGAAGGAAATAGAAAAAGTGCGGCTGCTGGAGAAATTGAAATGGGGGTGGGATACAATCAAAGATGGATGGAAAGACATTCCTTAGAAGTCACTTAATATAGAGGCCTAAGAAGAAAAGTTTTTTGGTTGTTTTGTTCGTTTCTTTGAGAGCAACACATGGTAAGATCAGTATTGAGTTGATAAAAGGATTGGAAAATAAGGTAACGGGGATTTTTATGCCAATTTAGAAGATGTGATGTAACTTTGGTATGACTGTACAATTGAACGTGTGTTTCTCCTCTTTACGACTTATTATTTTGCCATTTAGATGTCACAGTACTTGTAGAAAGGACCTTTGAACCTTTCGATCAATGGAGAGAGAAAATGTCTCGCTTTGTATAGAATAGGCTTACCCTTTGTGATGTTTAATAATCTACATGTATGTGATGTTTTGTTTTTTGAAAATAAAAAAAGGAAAAAAAAAATCTGTTCTTATCGAGAAGCAATATGGCAACTGCGTCGGCCAGTTATGGGGAAGAGATGGACAGAAGGAGTGGAATGAAGAATACTTTACGTTTTGATTTGATCGACAAAGACTCTGCTTTCCAAGACCGGATAACTTTTGGGAGAAGAATCCTCTTTGACGCTCTCAACATACAGCCAGAAGAGATCTATTGCCTACAACAGAGCACAGCTAAGAAATATTACGATGTGACGCTAACTACCACAGAGAGAGCGGAGGACGCGAGACGGAAAGCCAACACAGCAGTAAGCGAAGACCTAAAAAGATACGCGGTAAAAAAAAAAAATCTGTTCTTATCAGTTTAATATCTGATACGCCCCCGATTTGGGGGCAACGTATTAAACACATTTTTAGAACAGGGAGCCGAATTAGGGGCTCGCTCCGTTCGCTCCACGCTCTTATCGAGACGTTCGCCGCTCTTACCATCTCGATAAGAGATTCCAATGCCTGAAACCATTGACGTGAGCAAGCCATCGCATTTTGTCCCAGTTCAAAGGGCACACCGAGAGAAGAGCAGACACATGGATCTTTGCTTTGGACACAAGAGTGAGGGGAGAGCGCGAACGCAGTCCCCCACTACCACAAATTATGCAGTTGAGATTCCCGCATTTGGGGAATTCACAAGGGTCAGCACAACCGGAGTGCAATGGTTGAGCCTCGCCCTGGGTGAACCACCTTCGTGATCATGGTATGTTATATCTATAGTTTATACCAAAAAGTTCTACTTTGGTTTCATCTGACCACATGACATTCTCCCAATCCTCTGCTGTATCATCCATGTGCTCTCTGGCAAACTTCAGACGGGCCTGGACATGCACTGACTTCAGCAGCGGAACACGTCTGGCACTGCGGGATTTGATTCCCTGCCGTTGTAGTGTGTTACTGATGGTGACCTTTGTTACTTTGGTCCCTGCTCTCTGCAGGTCATTCACCAGGTCCCCCCGTGTGGTTCTGGGATCTTTGCTCACCGTTCTCATGATCATTTTGACCCCACGGGATGAGATCTTGCGTGGAGCCCCAGATCGAGGGAGATTATCAGTGGTCTTGTATGTCTTCCATTTTCTGATGATTGCTCCCACAGTTGATTTTTTCACACCAAGCTGCTTGCCTATTGTAGATTCACTCTTCCCAGTCTGGTGCAGGTCTACAATACTTTTCCTGGTGTCCTTCGAAAGCTCTTTGGTCTTGGCCATGGCGGAGTTTGGAGTCTGACTGTTTGAGGCTGTGGACAGGTGTCTTTTATACAGATGATGAGTTCAAACAGGTGCCATTCATACAGGTAACGAGTGGGGGACAGAAAAGCTTCTTACAGAAGACGTTACAGGTCTGTGAGAGCCAGAGATTTTCCTTGTTTGAGGTGACCAAATACTTATTTTCCACCCTAATTTACGTATAAATTCTTTACAAATCCTACCATGTGGATTCATGGATTTTTTTTTCACATTCTGTCTCTCATAGTTGAAGTGTACCTCTGGTGCAAATTACTGACCTCTGTCATCATTTTAAGTGGGGGAACTTGCACAATCGGTGGCTGACTAAATACTTTTTTGCCCCACTGTAAATAAGGTGGGAGACAACGGGCATCCTTGCCTTACTCCAGCTTTCACTGCAACTGTAGTAGTCTGTACACCATTCACATTCACAACACTACTACAACCAGAATACAACACCCGCATCCATCTCCGAAAGACTTCTCCAAATCCTAATTTATCTAGGACTTTCACCAGAAAGGCATGACTGACATTGTCAAAGGCTTTTTCTAAATCCAAGCTTAACCCACAAAGGTGGTTCACCCAGACCCATGTGAGAGTATTAGTTGTTGTTTACTTGACCTTTTTTGTGTGTTTTTTTCCCTTTGTGGGTTTCGCCATCTTGGGTTTTTGATTTCAGAGTCTTGGTTGCTTATTTGTTTTAATTCTTTATGAATGAACATATGTAATTTTGAACAATAAAACTCTTTGAAAATTGAAAAATTATTTACCTCTATAGTTTAGAGCGGAACATCCCCCTTTGTATGTTAGGTCTGGATTTAGAAAAGGCCTTTGACAACGTCAGTCACGTCTTTCTGATGAAAGTTCTTGATAGCTTAGGATTTGGGGAAGGGTGTAGGAGATGGATCCAGGTGTTATATACTGGATGTAGTAGTGTCGTGGTTGTGAATGGGGCACAGACCGCTACGGTCCCAGTGAAATCTGGAGTAAGACAGGGATGTCCCTTGTCCCCTATTTTGTTTATATTGGTGATGGAGCCACTGGCATGCGCACTAAGAGCTAATGAGCTAATTAAGGGGTTGATTCCACCGGGTAGCGGAGGGTTGGAAATAAAATTCTCCATGTATATGGACGATATAACTCTGCTGCTTACAGACAATAAGTCGATTGAAGTAAGTTTGGCAGTTTGTGAAGCTTTTACAAAAGCCTCAGGGATGAAAATTAATAAAGAGAAGAGTGAGGTGATTTACTTTAAGTGGCATGAGATTAAAGAAAAAATGGGATTGCAAGAAAAATCAGAAACGTTGAAAATTTTAGGGGTGGAAATAGGAGAAAATATGAGAATTAAGAATTGGAATTCAAAATTACAAAAAATACAAGGGAAACTGTTGAATTGGAAAGATAGGGAACTCTCCTTTATAGGTAAGGTTCTGGTAATAAAAGCTGAAGTAATAGCTTCTATAGCCTTTTTGGCAACGACGTTGCCAATCCCTTATGAAATATTAACTTCATTGAGGAAGGCGATGTTTCATTTCTTTTGGGGAGGTCAACATGAGAGAGCAAAGAGGGAAGTTATGTACAAACCAGTAGGGAAAGGGGGGAGAGCAGTACCAGAATTAGAGTCCAAGTGCAATGCGATGTTTATCACCCCAATTCTTAAGGCATGTTTTAGTGACCCTAAAGATAAACTTTGGCCATACTTTACTAAGTTTTGGGTGGGTCGGAAAGTTTTTCAGGCGTGGGGTGTGCGCCCCCCCTTAACGTGCCCTTCTCTGAACAATATCCTGTAATCTACAAGGTAGTGTTTAGTTTGCTGAAACGTCTTCCGACTAGGATAACCCTTCAGGAGATAACTCGCGCAACTATAGAGGAGACATTGTTTCCAACAGGTAGCATGTCACCGATAGGAAAATTGCGTGAAACCCACACTAAAATGGCTTGGGGTAATGTAAATAACAAATGCCTGCTAAATCCTCATAAAGACTTAGCGTGGCAAGCTGTTCAAGAATGCTTGCCGACAAGAGCCCTGGGTGAACCACCTTCGTGATCATGGTATGTCCCCTGCCAGGTAAGTATGAGTTGCCAGCGTGGGAGACAGGGCTCCCCCTTCCACATGCAGCACTCTGGATATATATATATATATATATATATATATATATATATATATATATATATATATATATATACACACACACACAGTGGGGCAAAAAAGTATTTAGTCAGCCACCGATTGTGCAAGTTCCCCCACTTAAAATGATGACAGAGGTCAGTAATTTGCACCAGAGGTACACTTCAACTGTGAGAGACAGAATGTGAAAAAAAAATCCATGAATCCACATGGTAGGATTTGTAAAGAATTTATTCGTAAATCAGGGTGGAAAATAAGTATTTGGTCAATAACAAAAATACAACTCAATACTTTGTAACATAACCTTTGTTGGCAATAACAGAGGTCAAACGTTTACTATAGGTCTTTACCAGGTTTGCACACACAGTAGCTGGTATTTTGGCCCATTCCTCCATGCAGATCTTCTCGAGAGCAGTGATGTTTTGGGGCTGTCGCCGAGCAACACGGACTTTCAACTCCCGCCACAGATTTTCTATGGGGTTGAGGTCTGGAGACTGGCTAGGCCACTCCAGGACTTTCAAATGCTTCTTACGGAGCCACTCCTTTGTTGCCCGGGCGGTGTGTTTTGGATCATTGTCATGTTGGAAGACCCAGCCTCGTTTCATCTTCAAAGTTCTCACTGATGGAAGGAGGTTTTGGCTCAAAATCTCACGATACATGGCCCCATTCATTCTGTCCTTAACACGGATCAGTCGTCCTGTCCCCTTGGCAGAAAAACAGCCCCATAGCATGATGTTTCCACCCCCATGCTTCACAGTAGGTATGGTGTTCTTGGGATGCAACTCAGTATTCTTCTTCCTCCAAACACGACGAGTTGAGTTTATACCAAAAAGTTCTACTTTGGTTTCATCTGACCACATGACATTCTCCCAATCCTCTGCCGTATCATCCATGTGCTCTCTGGCAAACTTCAGACAGGCCTGGACATGCACTGGCTTCAGCAGCGGAACACGTCTGGCACTGCGGGATTTGATTCCCTGCCGTTGTAGTGTGTTACTGATGGTGACCTTTGTTACTTTGGTCCCTGCTCTCTGCAGGTCATTCACCAGGTCCCCCATGTGGTTCTGGGATCTTTGCTCACCGTTCTCATGATCATTTTGACCCCACGGGATGAGATCTTGCGTGGAGCCCCAGATGGAGGGAGATTATCAGTGGTCTTGTATGTCTTCCATTTTCTGATGATTGCTCCCACAGTTGATTTTTTCACACCAAGCTGCTTGCCTATTGTAGATTCACTCTTCCCAGTCTGGTGCAGGTCTACAATACTTTTCCTGGTGTCCTTCGAAAGCTCTTTGGTCTTGGCCATGGCGGAGTTTGGAGTCTGACTGTTTGAGGCTGTGGACAGGTGTCTTTTATACAGATGATGAGTTCAAACTAGAGATGGCACGATACCACTTTTTTATGTCCGATACCGATATCATAAATTTGGATATCGGCCGATACCGATATGAATCCGATATAGTGTTTTTTAATCAACAAAACTGTTTTTTAAATATCTTGCTGCATTTTGTATAAGTTCATACTCAAGTTTAAAACAACAACTACACTAAAGCTATTCTGTTATACCTGTATGCAAAAAAAAATATTTCATAGTTCAGCAATACTGATCAATCTAATAAACTTAAACCTGCACCATCCTCCCTATTCTGGTATTTTAAAGAGTACTTAGCGTAAATATTAAGCAACCTAACTAATAGGGTTCCAACTCCCAGCAACAAAAATAAATAAATAAAAAATAGGGAACCACCCCTCACACTCCACCTCATGATGCTTAATCGACGTAATCAACCTTAATTTGATGCAGTGTGAAAAAAAATGCACAGAAATAAATTATTTTTCAAGAAATATTAAATACTATTATAATTATTATTTATTATTTATTATTATTATTATTTATTTATTATTATTATTATTAATACGCCCGTATTTTCTGTGTTCGGTCCTCAGATGGTTGAGGCAATGTTAGAAAGATAAAGATACTAGAGTGTGTTCCTGAGAATTTTTTTTTTTTTTTTTTGGTCATAATGACCAGTCAAGCTTTGGCTAGTTGATGATACTTTGTCCCATAACTGTAAATGTCTTTTATTGTTTGTTTCTGTTTGTTTG